ATTTTTTTTTTCTACAAAAATCTACAGACCTGAATATACAATTTGTTAACCTTGTTATCAACATTTTTTTTTTATATATATATTTGAGAAAAAAAAGACTTAAATTATAATTAAGAATTGTGATTTTTGTCTTTTTTTTAAGCCGATAAATTTTCTACTTGATCATTTTTTTTTTCTAATGATTTTCTATAATTTTTATACAAAGTGAATATTTAATGTATTATTAAGTAAAAAACTGGTTTATCGAGTTTTGATTACATATTGTTAGCTATTGAAAATAATATTTAATATCAAAATGCATCATCATTCATTAATACTTTTTTTTTTTTTAACTATTCATATCTACTTGAAAAAAATATAGACACGTGAAAACTTCAGTAGGAATCTTCATAAATTATATTTGACCCGATTGAATATTAGAATATATTCATGAAAAATACTTCAAACTACAAACTTAACAACGTTTATACATATTCAAATAACGAAAATGCCTTGAACTTTCGAAGAAAATGTAAGTTAAATGCCGATAAATATAATTTAGTTAGCGATTAAATTAAGTAAAATAAAAAATTTAGATTCTCGAAAACATAATCATCATTTATAAAATTTAATATTAAAAGTTTAAAATTTAATTTTAAAATCAAAATAAATAAATAATAAAAATATAAATTTTTCGAAATTTTGTAATAAGAACATATCATTCATTATTCTATTAATATCGGTTCCGTATGATGGACAACGATAACATTGTATAAATCATACAAACGAGACCGGAATTTGTATCCAGATTCTTAAAATGATAAAAAGAATTAAATATTATGGCTGAATGATGATAGTGTTCGAAGATAGTAGTAACATTCGTGATATAAAAGCAAACAATAAATCAGTCGTGCTTTATTAACAAAATTTCCTATTATTTTAGGAGAAAACAATAAGTATAAAGAAAGTAAACTGATGTCATTTTTGAACGGATTTTTCTTTTCTTTCTTTTCGACTTCACGGATCCTTCGACATCATCCATAAATGATTGTAACTTCCTATATGTGAAGCAGTGAGGTTGTCTGAGTTTCCACTGGAAAGATATATGACTCAATCGTCTGATGATACTTGCGAGGTAATCGTTGACATCTTGTAGTTTCTGCCAGAGATAACGAAAATAAGTTAAGATCAATAGACAGAAATTATACAAGTAAAACAGAAAAATGAATACTTGATCATGTCATTTCCAATCTTGACTTGATTTCAGATCTACAGATTGGGCACATTTCCAATTGCAAGGCACACCTGGTACAAAATCCCCTAAAATAAAAAATAAAAATAAAAAAAATAATAAATTAATACTTATTGTAAACAAACAAAAAATTTTAACAAATTTAATTATATATATAACTATTACATACATAATTAAATTGTTGTATATATATATATAAATTTAATATTACTAAATATTATATATGATTACTATAACATTAGAGGGTGCAAATTCATTCATAAAATATAAGAAAAAAGTTTAAGTACCTTCAAGGTTACAACAAGGTCAACTACGTCAGAAAATTTATGATAATTGATTATAATTGATATTATTTGAATATGACTATAAATTCATATTTTTATTTTAAATTGCGATTTTTTAAAAAATAATTTTTCTATATTTTTTTCTTAAAATAATACGCGCTATCTGTAAATGATGAGTCATTGACAATTTTGTTAAAGTATGCAAAATATTTACATAAATATTTTGCAAGTAGATAGGTATGCGACCACTTCCTAAAAATATTAATATTTTTACCATTTGTATCTAGAACTGATTGAGATTACATCAATAATAAAGCAACGTCACTTATTTGACCCACAGGAAACCTACTTTTCCTTCCTGTCTGAACAACACTCGACGAAAAGAAAAGGTGGCCCCCATGCAACCGTTGGAAGAGGGGAGAAATACAATGAATTCGGGACATCTGTCCTGCTTTTTTCCCCAGACCCGTGGGGACGGTCGGCACAAAGGGTCTCCACCCCAGGGTGGGGGATTATACACCGGGGGCAGCCGTGGGTCCTCAAGCGCCCTGAACTGGAGAATGGAACATCCGTTTTCGTTCCTTCTACGCTTCTGCATAATTCACTGACCTAGTTTTTTTCTAACCTCGTTCAAATTTAGGCAAAGCGTTTTTTCCTATCTCTTTTCTTTCGTTCTTATTCAAGATCTGCACCGATGGTGTCGAAATTATCGTCACAACTCCTATTTGCATGATAGTAAAGGCTGTTACTCAAACTTATTTAATCTCAATATTTCTATTAAAAAATCCTAATAGAAATTTTTTAAAATAACTTTTAAAAGATCTACTCCAAATTTTCATATTCAAATTTATATAATGCATTACCGAATTGAAATTAAAAAAAAAATTACATCAAATTCCTTATCGTTAGGGATTATCGTCATCTATTCTATTGTTATAATATACGAAGAGCAAACCAAAATTTTTCAGATAATAGTAATACTTTAATTAAAGATTATTATACAACTGCGATTGAAGTTATTTTTTAAAAAGTAAATTTCAATCACCAATCAAATATAAAAATATATNAATAATAATAATAATAAAACTGTACGAAATATTTCGTGTAAGCATTCACACGAATTCAAAAGTATTATTTCTTAATTTCTGATTATTGTACAGTAACAGTTTTATTGAATTATTAATTTAAAATGCCAATCTTAATTTCAAATTCTCTGCAATATGTACACTTTAATTTAATATAATTTCTTTAAATTAAAAACAGTTAAAGTCTACGAAAAGCAGTTCAGAAAATTGATTGATATTTATTCGTAGCTTTCGAAATATATTACCCTAATAAAAGTACATGTTTATGAAAAATATAGAAAATAATCTGAAATCTTATATATCTAAACAATATATTTCAAGTATATTATTATTATTAATTGAAAAAAGCTAACTGTAAATCGTCTATGAAGATATAGGATGGAATATAAGATCGAAATAAGCTAAATTGTAATTAAGTCTTAAATTATTCACGAATGCATGTGTAAGCAAGATTCAACGAAACAAAGAAATATTGTAAACTTAAATAAACTGATTATGTAGGCTATTTAAGTCTGTATGAGAACGAACTACGAAAAGAAAGGAGTATGAAGATTAAAACATAAATTTGAAAACGCTTTTAAGGGTTTCCGAATTAGAACGATATGAAGAAATAATTAAAATACATTCTTATTTTAAAAGAACGAATAAAAAACAATATATAAACATAAACACTTGTACTGAAGATATTCGATTAAAAAAAATCGGAAACGAAGAAAGAGGAAGTAAGTGGCAACCATAAAAAGTGGAAAGGTATATAGAGATCGCTTGAATTCTCTTATGGTAAAAGATACTACAAATTGCTTAAAATTCAATAGCAAGATAATATTATAACAAGAAAATTGAAATCTATTTTATTAAATTCCTAGTGGAGACGAATTTATATTTAATTTCCGTTACATACTGACGTAATATCTAAAATTAGTTATTTGCCAATCTTTCTTTGGCCGTTGCAAGGTCATCAGGTAATTCTATACCGATCAGCTAATTTTAAAAGTATTCGATAACGTACAGTTACTCATAAAAGTACTTATATTCCTTAACACATACTATAACAATAAATACAATTCTCTATTATTATTCTTATAAATGTTTTTATGCTGACCGCAAGAGGCGCTGAGATCGTAAGCCTTTTATTAAGATCGCAAATATACAGAGAAGCTCTAAGACTAAATTGTTATTTAAAAACGTTTTCCGAAAGTAATTCTTGTCACACTTATTTGTTGCTGTGATGATAATTTTCAAATTTAAAACTAAAAAGTTCATATATAATTTCTATAAGTATGCTATTAACTTAAATACATCACCCATAATTTCATCAAAATAATTATTTTAAAAATACATCTCAATTTTCTGTCCGTTTTGCAATATCAGCGGCATTTAGAAATGCAAACTCCAAAACGGAGTGAACAGCTAAAAGTATCAATAAATAATATAATTTGCGTGTTTATAATACAAAATAAAACAAAAATATACATGTATGTATAAAGATACGTTAATAAAAAGTAATGAATGAATGAACCAAAATACAGTATTTCAAAATGATTTTAAATACATCTCATTTCATGAAATTTCTTTGGCCAAACATAAAAACTATACCGTGATATTAATAATTTATTCAAATTCCGTGTAATGTACTGTACAGTACATTACTTATGATTCGAAATTATACATTTATTTTTGAAATATTTAAATAGCAATCTTATCACCGACACTTAATAATAATAATAATAAAACTGTACGAAATATTTCGTGTAAGCATTCACACGAATTCAAAAGTATTATTTCTTAATTTCTGATTATTGTACAGTAACAGTTTTATTGAATTATTAATTTAAAATGCCAATCTTAATTTCAAATTCTCTGCAATATGGTAGTATTTAAATAAATTATGCTTAATTAAATTGTATAAAATATTTCACGATAACAAGTTTTTATAAATATCATTTTAATTAGATTAATATACACTATCTTCAATTTTTAATCTTTCTCGACTTGCTAAACATCGAACAAAACGAAAAACTACTAGTGTGTTACAAATTTCATTGCTTGTAATTTAGATATTGATATGAGATCATTTTAAATATTTGTTATGGAAAAATATACACACGTTCGGAGATAGAAATTATCAAATCTTTTACATAATCGAAATATCCACACGTTCTGTTTAATTGAAATTATTATATTTTCATATGGATAACTACGGAATTGAATGCATTCAATAAGATTATAAATTAGAAGATTCTGGTTTAATTTTCCATTCAGATTAAATATTTAATTCATGGCTTCGTAATGAATCAACTTTTTTACATCAAAGTTATGTAATTTGAAATATAATTTTTAAATTTAATCATATTTTCTTAAAACATGTATTAAATAAACATTTTTTTTTCCTATTATTTATCTAAATATTTATCAGATATATAGCAAGAATATTTACAATATATACATGTTTTATCATAGAAAATTTTAAACTTGATATAATTTGTTATATTATAGGGATACAATTTTTATCGATGCCTTACAAAATTTTAATTCTTGCAATTTATTAAAGACTTAATTTGATTCAATAATAAACTACATTCTTAAACCTTAAATCCCATTTACCTTTTCAGATTAATCTGTTTAATAAATTGTATTTTTATATATAAAAAAAATATTTTGAACATTGAGAACAATTACATAATATAGAAATTTCGTGTTTCAGTTAAAAGGAAGTATTTATGATTTTAAAAAAATCCTTTTGTTATTAAAATGTCAAAAGTTCGATCAAGTAAACAAATTTTAACTAATTACAGAAAAACATTAAAGAGAAATAAATTCGGAATAAAAAAAACAGAGAGAGAGAGAGAGAAAAAAACAAACTCATTTTCTTAAATTAACGTATCAACGAACACTACTTAATATTAAAAATTAATGCAACATGCCGCACACCAGTAAGAGAGGAATTTAAGTACTCGCCAGTGGTTTTCCACACTCTAACACGATAGTTGGCTGTTTCCAAACAATCAAGATTAGTCACTAAAGACAATACACTGCCAACCCGTGGAAGTCGATGATTTTTGCCACAGCATCAATGTAAAGAAAGCTGGCGATTTTGGAATGGTGATGGCAGGATTGTAACGGTCGCCATGAATGCAAATATGGCTCTCCTAGTCATCTATCAATGATATGAGAAGAGACAAGACTTTGTAATGAGCCTTCCATCTGCTGGTCAAAGACGAAGCTATTTGTGTTTGTCTCAAGATCGTATGTATGTCGTCTCATGTTCACTGTCTTCAACATCTCCTCACGATGACCCAGGTGACGGATGGATAATTCGGCAAAACGGCCATCTCACTTCCTTCATTCTAATTATGCAACCTTTCTCAAACTCCATCAGCTGTGTGTAATATCTTTACTTGCATTTCAAAGTGAGAAAAGGCCTCCAAACAATGAGCAAGCCTACATTGAAAATTCTCACTCACAATGATTTTCTGTGCCATCCTTTATAAAGGATACTGTATTAGCAATTTTAAAGCATTGGCAGTGTTACCAGGTATGCAATGTTACCACAACTGTAATCATTACACCATTAAACACATAGTAGAATGCCGAATTTTGCAGCAAGAGAGATTACTTATGAATGTCAATGAGTTGATTTTACTTATTAACTCGATTATTATTATTACGTTATTCTCCACAAAGTTTGCATTTTTAGATAAACCTATAGTAATTCATTTTAAATAAATATTTTGTATAAATTAAATATATTTAAATCCCGAAGAAGCATTACCATTTTTATAGCGTTGAGCTCGATTTATTGCCATAGAGTTAGCACTAAATCAAGCTTGGTATTATATAGGAGAGCGCTGTATGACTACATATGTGCTTAATTTAATATTAAATTAAACACATATTATACACACTAAATCGAATATGGCACTAAATTGAAATACATTAAACAATATATAGTTTAATATGTACTGTTTATTGACACTTTACGTGGGTAGCGTTAATTAGGAAAGTGTTATATCGAGTTAAAATTATTTTTATA